ACCGTTCGGGGTTTTCAAAAACGAAACTAATAAGTTTTTCAATTTTTTGAGAAATCGAAAAATAAGCTTTTTCGGTTTTTGAAAACCGAAAAGTAACCCAATTCAAATTTTCAAAAACTGAAATAGGGTTTCCTCCTTCAACAAGCAAAAAGTAATCCAATTCCAATTTTTGGTGTTTGAAATACCGAAAACACGACATTTTCGGTTTTCAAAAACAGGAAATGTGTCTCTTTCTAGTAAATTTTCAAGTAAGTTACTGGAAAATGGAAGATAATTTTAAGTTTTTGAAAGTCGAAAATATCTATTTTTCGGTTTTTGCAATACTAAAAACACAACATTTTTGGTTTTTCAAGAACAAAAAATCTGTCTCTTTCCAATAAATTTTTCAGTAAGTTACTGGGAAATGAAAGATAGTTTTCGGTTTTTGAAAAACCAAAAACACGACAATTTCGGTTTTTCAAAACCAAATATCCGAAAATTTTCATGTAAGTTGCCGAAAAATAAAAGATAATTTTCGGCTTTTGAAAAACGGAATTCGATTACTGTTTGGTTTTTCAAAAATTGAAAAAAAAAGAAAAGAAGGAAAGAAGCTTATTTTTCAAATTTTAAAAAACCAAAACATTTAAACAAAGAGATTGTATACAATGAGACTATTTATCTTTGATACAAGGAGGTCACAATTACATACAACCATCTGATGTGAAATCTGATAGCTTGCGTGTGTCACAAAGTTCGATCAATTTTTTTTTGAAGTTTGAGTTTGGTCAATACAATAAATGCAACCATCTAATTTCACATCCAATGGTCAATATTAATTGTGACCACCTTGTACCAAAGATAAATGGTCTCATTATATACTTTTCCTAACAAAACAAAAAAAAGTAGTCTTTTTTTTTAAAAAAAAGGACATATATAAGGAAAAAGTTTATATAATGTTGCAACCTTAAAATGTAGAATTGTAAATGCCCATGAAAAATCTATCAAAAAAGGTTATTTAATATTGACAATGTCAAGATGTATGAATATAAAAAAGAAAAAAACAAAAGATTTTGAGTCTCAAAAATAGTGTATCTTGTAACACATTATCTAGACCTCTCATTTTTATGATTTTCATATGTTTGTAGATCTACCTGATTTTAATGATTTTTGAAATTTAAAATTATATAATTAAATATAAAAATAGATTTTCAAATAATCTTAAATTGTGACCTCCTTGTATATAATTGTGAGGTCATAATTACGTATGATATAATTTGGAGGTGCGAATGAAAACTTCACTGTAATTTCCAAAATTATATATATTATGATATAATTTGGAGGTGCGAATGAAAACTTCACTGTAATTTCCAAAATTATATATTATGATATAATTTGGAGGTGCGAATGAAAACTTCACTGTAATTTCCCTCTTTTTCACACACGGACGTGCAGTCACACATCAGAGTTTAGGTGTCGGACGGTCCATGTGTGCATGTGCGTGTGTGAAAAAGATGTAAGAGTTTTTAGCGGTTGTGTCGCTGCAGTGAGCACAGAGTTTGATCCATGGGAAACTTCTCTGAATTTCCCTTCCCACTTTGCTGATTTTCATTGAATCGTAGTGGTGAATAAAGAGGGATGTACAGAGAGAATGTCTGTCAATTCACAGGTTCAAATGTGAATAGTACAAAATGGAAAATCATTTAAAAGAAAGTTGAGTTTAAGCTACTTTCCCTTCTAAAAACCACTGCCATTGGAGAGAAGAGGTTTCTTCACCCTAGAGAGACATAGAAGATGTGGAGCGACAAGAGGCTTCACTCTCTCCTTGGTGCTCTCTCCATTGGTGCTCTGATCTACCTAAATTTTGGGGGTGATTTCAGCCAGTATTTCCCATTTCTATGGCAACCCAAGATGAGTTTTGTTGAAGTCAACAATACCCATTTCTCAGTTGATGGGAGAGCTCTGTATGTCAATGGGTGGAATTCGTACTGGTTAATGGAGCAGAGCATTTGGCCTTCTTCTAGACCAAAGGTCAGGAAGATCTTCCGGCGAGCTGCTGATATGGGCATGACAGTTTGTCGAACTTGGGCTTTTAATGATGGCGGTACCCATGCTTTGCAGATCTCTCCTCGTAATTTCGATGAGAAAGTGTTCGAGGCAAGTGGGGCTTCTGATTTTATTTTATTTTTCTTTCGAGATTGCGTATTTTCTGTAGTTGACATCTTTTGTATTTCATTTCCTAGTAATCGTTGAAAGATATGTTTGTTTTGGGTTAATTGGGTTACTGTTTTTCTATCTCTGATTGAAAGATGGTTTTCCATTTGGAGGTGGTTTTATGTGTGGGTGTTTGATGATCCAGTCTGAAATTTTTTTAGCTTGTCTTTGGATTTGTTCTAACATTTCTTTGGTTTTGGTGGGGGGTTTCCTTTAATTTTCTTGTCAGGAGCCAGATTATTTTGGAATTTCCTACGTTCCTTCTGTGATGCACACATAATTTTCGGATGGGACTTTAGGTCTCAATGATCTGCTGTTATATGAATGGTGTTTGATTGAGGGATGATTTAATATTCATTCAAATTGTTGGATTTTATAATAAGGAAGTGATCATTGGACTAGGGTTGCAAGCCAACCTCTGACCAACTCAAAGAAACAAAAAATGTGGTTATTGGATTTGCACGTGGTTCATTGTGGATTTAGTTTCTTGAATTTGGACTGGAAAGACATGACATTTTATACTCTAATTCAACTGGGCTTAATATGTCTGTTATTGCTATGCAGTCTCTTGATCCTATTTTCTTTTGTAGTTCCATTCTAAAGTTATTTGTAGTCAACTTGAGGAGTTCGAATTGTGGCATAAAACTCTTGTGTGATGTTAAACTGTGGTGTATCTTTGGCAGAAAAAGGCCAAGGAAATCAAATAGACAATATTCATATCTAAGAGAGTGTTACATTCCTTTCAGAGAAAGGCCCTTGCTACTCAACTCTCGTTCAAACCCAAAAACATTTTTGGCTTACCTGCACAAGTTTATCGCTCTGTAGTCCCTTACCTATTTAATCCTCAACTGATTTACAACTATGCATGTCTATAGCCTTTGAAACAAAGTCGTCCTGACCCACTTCTCACGAAACCTGAGTGGTGAGAGTGGCAAGCTCCACCTTGATATGAACATGATCCCATGGATGCTTGTCAATTGTAATATCATGTTTCTTGGGTGTAATTCATTAGTGGATTGAGAAGATTCAATTACTAGGAGTGATCAAGTTTTCATTTTTCAACACAATTTACTTGATGCATCATGCAAGCTCACTAGAGAAAGGGGGGTGCTATTGTCACTCTTGTTTGCTTATTTCACCCCCAAAACATGGGCCGCAATACTTGACTCAAATCTTCAAAAAGAATTATTGACTCAGTTCTTTGATACTGCCTTCCATGATTTGGGTGGGAATAGTCGAATTATTGGTGAGAATATCATCCTGGAAGAAGAATTGTTAGTGCAGTTTGCCTTTGCCCTTCATTTGGCTCTTTGAATGTGCTGTAATGAGATAGGTAAAACCTTTCAAGGGCAAGACCAGTGTTGCCAGATTCGCTTCCGAGTCTTCTTCGGTTTGGGTGGGAAAATGAAGCAATTCGGTACTTCGGCTGATTTGGAGGAAGACTTTGGAATTTTTAAAATTTTTTAATATCAATAAAGTATATATTTATATGTATAAATATTTCAAAAATAAAAAATTCAATAAGAAAAAAAAGACAATTCTATGCTTCGGCCGAAGGGGTTGGAGCTTCAGCTGAAGAGGCCGAATCACACCGAAGCAGGCCAAAGCACATAATTGTCTTTTTAAAGGACAATTTTGTGCTTCGCCCAAAGAGGCCGAATCAAACTGAAGTGGCCCGAAGCAGCCTGATGCAGGCCGAAACGGATGCACTACAGCTTTGCTTCGCTTCGTTCTAGGCCGAAAATCTGAAGACTTTGGCCTCTTCAGCCGAAGCAAAGCGAATCTGACTACATTGAGCAAGACATTAATGTGAGGTACATAGAACTCATGCCTTGAAGCTATACTTTCACCTGGTGCCATTTATTAATTATTTCATATCTTTCACTTGGCTTGTAGCATGGTCCATTTTTAACTTTTGCCCAATATCCCCTTCCATCTCAAATCCTTTACATTTTATTTTAACACAATGATTTTGTTGACGAGTGTTATCTGAACCTGTGGGATTTTATTTGAATTTAGAACTTATCATGCCAGATGTTTATGGATCGCGTGAAGTATCTGTATCGCATATGTGGTGTTCTATTCATTATTTGCCTATAATAAACCAAAAAGGATGGTGCTCTTCAAGCATCAGTTGGTTTTGATTCTTCTGTTTTTTTTTTGAAATACTATATTCAATCAAGGAATTCTGATTCCAGGCACTGGACTTTGTCATCGTTGAAGCACGGAAGTACAAGATCAGGCTGATTCTTAGTTTAGTAAACAATCTGAACGCATTTGGTGGAAAGCGTCAGTATGTGAAATGGGCACAAGAAGATGGAGTTAATGTGACTTTCTCAGATGATTCATTTTTCTCAGATCTGACAATAAAGGGCTACTTTAAGGATTATATCAAGGTAAATTCTGTGAAATTGTCACGTGTTACTATCCGGAAGTGGTAATAACTGTGTTTTTTGCTTTGTCATTTCTAGGTACATTGAGGTTTAGTGACTATTTTATCCTGGTTGCTATTCGATTACATTGTTCTTTAACGATTCTTCATGTTGTTTCTATGTTACCTTTATTTGAAATCTATAAAATAACAAAAATTACCCTTCAGAAAATCAACAAGTAGAGGAAAATGATTGTTTGGCAATTCTTCGAAGTCAAAATTTTCAATTCATAGGGATCAATTATCCAATTTTGTACAGGATTTTGTAAATCCAATTTCGTAAATCTAACTTTGAAGCAATGAAGCTACGTGTGTGTGTCAACACACGGATGACAACCCTTGAATGACTGCCAAGTTATGCTTCAATGAGTTATACTGCAAATGAAAATGAATATGCATTTGTCTCAAAATGTAGATGGCCATCTGTTGGATTTTCACAAACTGCATTTGAATGAATGGTTTTTCCTAATGACGATTTAAAAGGATCACACTTCAACTTCACAGAAACTCGTCGTGAAACTGCCAAGAATAGGTTTGCTAATAAGAATTTGATCTAGAAGGATCACTCTGGATTGATCTGCTCATGGTAAAAAATGATTACACCTTACTTGACTACAGCAATGGACTGACAAGGAGATTATCATGGAACTCTTGAATGACTGCCAAATTATAATTCAACAAGTAACCCTTGTTTGGTTGCAAATAAAAATGAATCTTCATTCTTTTCAAAATGCAGGTAGCCATCTGCTAGATTTTCACAAACTGCATTTAAATCACTTTGTGGTTGGGGTTAGTTTGGCTGCCATTTCCCCCATTAGCTTTGCTTAATTGCGAGTCAAAAACATCACACTCAACTGCATAGGACACTTCATGGTATTGTCAAGAATAGGTTTTCTATTGACAATTTGATCAAGGAGGATCACTCTGGTTTGATCTGCTTATGCTACAAAATGGTTTCAGACTGGTTCCTTTCTCAACTATGGCTATGAAGAATATTATTGTCGCAATTCTTAAATGACTGCTGCAGTATGATTTAGCGAGTTACCCCTTGTCAACTACATAGTGACAATTTAATAGATTGTTCGAGAAGGGTCACACTGGATCGATTTTTCATGGCAAAAAATGATTAGAGAATCTATGCTTTCTTCATATAGCAATGAAGAATTAGAATGGCTATCTTTTTGTTTTACTGTTACCAAAGCCAAATCCCAAATTGAAACTCATTAAAATTCACTGAAATTTTGCAAACAAACTTCCCAAATATGGACGAAATAGAAGAATCTGGTTAACGACGTAGCCATCAAATTGCCCTCTTCTTGGAATTAATACGTTTTTAGGTGGAAACTCACCTGATACGTGGATTTGAACTTCGATTCGCATTAGGTCTTTTTACCTATAGCAAAATCAGCTGCACAGAATAGCCGTCTGAAACTTGTTGGACGACTGTCAAAATAAATACTGAGATTCCTTTAAGAAGCTGAATGATTGTAACTATTTATTTTTATTATCTTTTATGGATTAAGAACTGGTTTTCTTTTAATAATTCTGTGAAATTACAAAAAGTCTCCGCATTTTCATCAAAGTTAATTTTTAAATTGTGATTTGGGACCTTGGCTATGTGTTCTGACTTTGACATAATGGGTTGCAACAAATGCCTGGCTTTGACATAATGGGCTGCAACATATGCATGAGATTCAAATCTCAGCTAACTTGCCCAAAAGAAAAATGTATATAAATATAGTATATTGACTGCATGTATTATTATTATCTACACTAGTTATATTGGCGCTTATCAGAAAAGAAACTACATAATGTAGTTTATAAATGTTTTATTGTTTCAAGGTTTTTAAAGTTGAATACTCCTGATTACTCTAAGATGATCCAAAATTGTTTAAATATGTCAATATAGCTGTTTGATAACAATATGATATCCCAAAGGGGGGAAAAAAATATACTATCGATAGTTTAGTGTAGTGAAACTATTTTTCCTCACCTAATTTTATACCAAGAAAAATGCCTCAAGTATTCCAAGTATAAATAAAGTACCAAAATTTTGTTGAATCAGAAACTTGTGTGTAGTTCATAGCGTATTTCACCTGGTTCAAGCATCATCAAGTTGCTTAGTTTGTTTGTTGAAGCAAAGATACATGGATTCAGAGAATCTTAAGTATGCAAAAAAATTTGAACTGAAAATATGCGAGAACAGGATTGCTAGCTGCTGGATATTTGTATTTTCCCAATGCATTGGACCAGGGATCTCTTTCTATGCATATATTCTCTATTGTTTGAAGGTCACTATTTATGATCTAGACTGATGTTATTTTAATGGTCTTGTAACTAATTGCTGCTAAAGATTAAGCTAATGTGGGATTTCTTCTTGTTTCCATGCCACAGACAATACTGACAAGAAAAAACAGTTTCAGTGGGGTTAGGTACTCTGAGGAGCCTGCCATATTTGCTTGGGAACTCATTAATGAGCCCAGATGTGTTTCCAATTCATCTGCCCCTCTTCTCCAGGTAAAAAGAATTGAGGATTCATTCACATGGTGCATCCCTGTTGAATATTTCATGTTCAAGCATTGATCTTATTTAATAGATTTTTATTTTTTTAAATTCTGAGGATGATGAACGCCTCTGCAAGTCTGTTTTCCCTCGCAAGGCCCTCGTCTGAGAGCTTTGTTTCCTTTGACCATCACCGTATTTAGCAATGTCTGTCAAGCTCCCCCATTCAATGCTGCCACCTAGCAAGGGCCTTGGCTATGTAAATCTACTATCCTACCCACAAAGAACCCTCCAGACCCCTGCCACAAAAAGACCATTGGTCCCCTACTACCTTGCAACATCCAACAAGAATATATTCATGCTGCAAACCATACAAACCTTGTACTTCCATATGCGTTGACCCTCAAGCCAGAGAAAACCCACAAAAATACTTACCATGAGAGATGTATTACCCCCAGTAAAGCAGAAATTCAAAGTCTTTGCCAGCCTTCCAATCTCTATCATTATTCTTGCCAAGCATCCAATCCCCGTGCTTAAAAACCCACCAAGGCCGAGTACCAGAAATCAGGGAAGAAAAAACAAAAGCACCATATCTGAAGAATACTCCTCAGAATCCTCTTCTGCTTGCACTAACCATATAAATCTGGATAATAGCTCCTGCAGAGGACTATTAGGACCATTTTTTATAGAAATATCAGTTTGGCACCAAGGTGACAATTTGAAACCAAACCTATATGCACCACCAATGATCCATCATGTGATATTAGCAATTAAGAGTCCTTTTTATCCAGCTTTTCTCGTTCTCTTTCAAACAAAGAATTTACATGCTTGATCCCTCTCTAACCTAACCTTCTGTTTCTCTTCCCAACCTCTCCCTCCCAAATGATCTCTGTTTCATCAACTTGCTGTTTTCATTCACCTACATCCTGTCTTGGTCGCCCTCCAGCCGTCTGCTGTAGATGCTCCATGGGATGCCAACACCTCGCTTAGACAATCACCTCACCCTGCAACAAGTACCACATGGATTCCTTTGGATTGGGAATCAGTGGGATTCATTGACGCAGCTGAGGAAAGAAGTATAATTGCTGATGACTCCCTTGAGGGGATGATAATTGCCATGGCCTCACTCATGAACTGTCCGTAGGCAGGATTAAGGATGCATCTTGAGCCAATGCCGCCAAAGAAAAGAAGGAAAGAATTCTGAGAAATCACAAATGGGGGCAAAGGAAAAGGGCCTGGGAACCAGAGAATTAAAGAACTAGGAGAAACATATTCCCACTTTCAACTGGAAAACGGCTGCTATTGTCTTTATTGCTCTTTCCTGCTAACGTGATGATTCTATCTAAGGACATGGAAGAGGACCCAATGAAATGGGATTTGCTGAACTTTTAGCGGTCCAAAAGGCTTTACATTCTTGCCGTCCAAGAAACTAAAATGGATGCCCCAACCCCAGACTAATCACCTCTGTGGGGTAGAAACCCACTGGAGTGGGAAGCTATCCCGGCCTAAGGAAGCTCGGGGGATGTCTGGGTACTATCGGGCCTAATATCTCACAAACATCAAATGTGAACGCTCTACGTTTTCTATATTTATATTATTTTAGACCAAGGATATTATCCCAAATTGTCTATGAGAGAATCATTTTGGCCTGAGTGAGATTCCATCTTGACAATTTCAGCCTACCTTGGTTGCTGGGAGGAGACTTCAATGCATCTCATTGGACCTTTTGTAAAAGTAGAAATAGGTGAATTACACCCAGTCTCAGTTTTCCTCAACCCTCATGACCTTCTCGACATTCCCTTGAATGGAACAAATTTCACATGGTCCAATTGTTGTGAACAACCACCTTGACAAAACTTGATCAGTTTCTCCAATCCGCAAACAGGAAATCTGTTTTCCAGGTTATCACTCCTTTGTGCTTCCTAAACTCACCTCAGACTACCTCCCGGTGTGCTTGGACACATGTCAGTGAACATCTGGACCAAAACAATTCAAATTTGAACTTCTTTGTCTCAAAGATAAATATGCCTACAATCTAATTAAAACATAGTGGAATTCCTTTGACATCTCCTGCTGGATGGGATTAAAAATTTGTAGGAAGCTTCAGCTGTTGAAAGGGAAGCTCATATAATGGAATAAATCATCCTTTGGGAACTTAAAATCTAGAACAAGGGGCCTGCTTTCTGAGATATCTGAATCAGATGGTGTCGAAGAAGTAAGAAACTTTGAAATTATGAGAGCGCCAAAGCAGGTTGCATGCAAGAGCAGATTTTGAAGAGATTTGGAAACAAAGAGAAATATTTGGTAGACAGATCATGGATTAAATTGCTCATAAAAAAGGTGCCTGAAACATGAGTTTTTTCTCAATAGAACTGCCAATTCTTTGAATAAAACTGCCGATTGCAGAAGAACGGATAAAGCTATCTCTAATATCAAGTCAAGGGGAAGGTCTACTAAGAGAAGTCCGAAATAGAGAAGTCCGAAATAGAGAATGTATGCATCCGAAGTTTTTTTTTTTTTGGATGGAGTTGTATGCATCCAAATTTTCGAAGATCTATTTCGAGCGGAAATAGATATTGCGACCTAGAATGAATAATGTTCAATTCAACAGATTATCAGAGGCTACTGTGAATTGATTGGAGAGACCTTGAGAGAGAGAAGAGGTGAATAATGCCATTTTTTAGTCTAGGCTAAGATGGAGCTCTGGGACTTGAAGGCTTTTAAGCATGGGTTTTTTTATATAGAAGACATGCAAATTTTCTTGGTGTTCCATTCTAGAGGCACTTTCAGAAGGCCTTGAGTGCTATTTTCAAAAAAAAAGAAAGAAAGAGGGGGCTGAAGAAAGTAGGTATCTCCAACCTATTAGCCATTTAAGTAGCACCTATAGGATCCTGTTATGGCACTTCCTTCAAGGTTAAGAGAGGTCCTAAATGAAGTAACCTCTCCATCCCAAGGAGCTTTGATGGTGCATTGATTGCATATGAATGGATTCACCAAAGATGCTAACTAGGAACTCCAGGTATCATTTGTAAGTTGAACCTAGAAAAAGCATATGATCATGTAGAATGGATGGTCCTAGATCAAAGCATGTCCCTCATTGGGTTCGGGAAGAAATGGTGTTTCTAGATCATTGCCTGTATCTCATCAGTTAGATTATGTCCTTCTCAATGGAACTCCTTGTGGCTTTTACTCTTGCTTTAGAGGCTTTCGTCAAGGCATCCACTATCACCTTTTCTATTCTAGGTTATAGCTGACAATTTCAGCAGAATGATCTCTTGTTATATGCTGCCACGCTGATCCAAGGATTCAAAGCTAGCTGCAATGTACCCTTGATCTCACATCTTAAGTATCCCAATGATATGTTGATTTTCTGCATCATCAATCCAAGATAGATTGCTTTTGGTTACTCTTAGGTGCTTTGAGTTTGCCTCTCAACTCTGAGTTAACATGAATAAGACAACACTGTTTGGAGTGGATCTCAATCTATTTGATCCCTAAAAGGTTTGGCCAATCATTGGGGTATAGTATCGAACTGTTGCCCAGTAGATATGTTGGCCTGTCCCCTTGTGTGAGTGAACTGAAGAAAATACTTTGGATAGTGTCAATGAGAAGTTTGAGAGATGCCTAGGCTCTTGGAAGTGCTGGTATATTTCAGAGCTCCCAAAAGGGGATCTTCAAGCTTGATTCTTAAATTTTGAATCTCGATCCCCATTGTTAAGGATCCTGATCCCCATCTTTATGACCAAGATAATGACTAAACTAATGATTTTCTTTATTTACAACCAACTATATATATAATATATTGCATTCTTGCTGGCTATAAATAAAGAGGTCTCTACGTTAAAAGGTATATATAGTTCTGGACCATAAATACTCTTTAAGGTTGGAAGCAAGATCCCCAAGAGGTTAGGAATGAGACCCCTAACATTTGGGGATTTTGATCCCCCGACATATGCATTGTACAAACTGTGCTCCTAACTATAGGAATCTTCTAGCCTTTCATGATCCCCGCTTCCATCCTGATCTCGCTCTCTGTCCCAACAATTGTGCATCAGATTCATGGTTGGTTCCAGGCATAGAATTCGTTGTTGTTAGACTTTTGGTTAGGTGCACAAGTACTTGCTGAGAGATCTCCTACTTTGTCTTAGTTGCCCTCCAACATCAAAATCTTGGTTTCCTAGTCCTTCAAAATAACAAGTGGTTGACCCTCATGGAACTCATTTATCAGGCAGAACCTCTAAGACGAGATCACAGAGTACATCGAACTGCAAAGGTTTCTCCAGCGGGCATACATCCCAATTTCATGGGTTTTTAAGTTGTTTTGGTTTAGACCCCGAGAAGCAAGGAAATCTTCTCAGTAAGGTCCTTTTCCTGGGTTTCGGCATGTTTTTCACTCCCACTAGTGACAGCGCAAAAGGTATGGGCTGTTTCAGCTCCACAAAATGTTCAGGTTTCTGGATGACTGGCTATACTAGGTAAAACACTCACTTCTAAGTTTTAACCATCTCTGAGACTGTAGTGTACTTATTCCTAATATGTGGGAATGGAGGGGAAACAGTGTTCCATCTTTTCTCCATTGTAAAGTAGCCCAGTCAGTATGTTCTTTTATTGTAGGTTTTACATGGGTTCTTCCAAGAACAGTGGAAGAATTTCTTCAACAATGGGCCTCCTCCCCACTTCCACCGTTGGGCCTCATTCTTTGGCACATTGGCTTATTGCCTATGCTATGGCTGCTTTGTCTGGAATGAAATGCAATGACCTTTTAGAAGGTAAATACTCTTAGTCAGTTGTAACTATTGAAAAGATTTGGGCTGTGTGATTGACTGCATTCTTGTAAAAATAGCATTTGGTGTTATACACACCAAGATCTTCATCTACATTGGCAGTATATTGCTTCAACCCCACAGTATATTGCTTCAACCCCAAAGAACAAAAGACCTCAAAGTTGGATCCCACCTCCCCCAAACACCATCAAGTTACATTCTGATGCAGTTCTAAGGGCAACCCAGTTACATTAGGTATAAGAAGCCCTTTTCGGAATGACCAGGGGAAAGGTCTATGCTTGTACTTTGGTCCAGGGGATACTTGCACTGCTTGTGAAGCCAAGTGAAGGCCCTTTTGGCTGGTCTCAGAATATATAAATCTGAGTGAGGCCCTCTTATTGTGGAAGGAGACTTCACTAATGGTTTCAGATGGCCCCAGGATTCCTCAAACTGGAAACTTCAAGAACTTTTTAGTGAGATTCAAGACAACATACAAGGCTTAAGTGTCACCCTCCAACATACTTGTGGATCACATAGCCAAAGAAATAACGCATAGATCCACCTTTTATAGCTAGAGAAATATAGTTTAAATTGTTCCTATTTTTGTAATAGTTCCTAATTTTTTATAAAGTCTGTCATAGGACACATGTGCATTAATTTTGTGACTTTCAATCTCATCAATAGAATTCAAGATCGTAATTTATCACAAAAAAAATGTACCACTTTGTACCTAGCTCCATAGGTATCAATCTGGTGAGTTCATTATCAAATTAAGTCTGTTTAGTACATGTTCTTTCTGATGTCAATATTCTATTGTTAACAGGCTTGGATCAATGAGATGGCAGCACATATTAAATTTTTGGACCATAAGCATCTTGTAACTGTTGGCCTTGAAGGGTTTTATGGGCCCACAACACCCGAAAAATCAAATGTAAATCCTGGCAGCTGGGCAGCTTCCTTGGGATCAGATTTCATTCAGGACTCAAAGTCGGAGTACATTGATTTTGCTTCTGTTCACTCCTATCCTGATAGTTGGTTAGTGAAAATTTAACCCCAAATCTGCATAAAAATCCACCATTATATATACTTTTTTTTCATACTAGTTTCATTTATATTATTCATTTTTATCTTTTTTGTTGTCTACTAGGATCCCGAATGCCAGGCTGGAAGAGAAGGTCAAGTATCTTTCAAAGTGGGTTGATTCTCATATAAATGACGGGGAGAATGTTCTGAAGAAACCAGTGCTTTTCACTGAAGTTGGTTCACTGCGTGGCAATATGCATGACCCTCATGGTGGTGGTGTTTTGTTGGAGATAGTATATGATAAGATATTTGAGTCAGCACGGAAGAAACAAGCAGGAGCAGGAGCCTTGGTGTGGCAGTTAACCGTCCAAGGCTTGGATAAGTATGGAGACGAGTTCTCTTTGGTAGCATGGGATCAACCTTCAATATATAAACTGATGCTTGAACAATCTTGTCGATTAAAAGTTTTATGCCAGGGATCTGAAATGGGTAGCAAGATTAGCAAGTCTGCTCCTTGTTCATGATCTGACATACTAGATGTGGGATAGATGTGAAAGGAGGAAGGGAAGGACTGGTAATTGGGAAAGTATGCTGTGGTCCCATGGACTACAGGAAACTGTAGTCCATTTCTGATCATGATTTTCAGATGATGAAATGACAAATGATGATGGGGAGTGGGATGCACCATACCGAACATGATTCAGTGGGTTCCACACTCCATTTTGTGTCCCAATGAACTCTGGTTTTCCATAGTAGATTAGGTTATGGTATACTTCCAGTTGGTGAAATATTTGAAATCTCATTCTTCAAATATTTAGAGAGAAGCGATTGTTTTATCCAATCAGGACTATCTATTTAAATTGTTGGATTTTTGGGAGAAGTAATAATGCTCTGATAGGTAGGGTGGGGATGAACAGAAGAGGACACTTCTGTACAGCATAATGTAAAATTTATTTGTTTATTAACTTATCGATGAAAAAAATTATATTGGCATATTGTGTATCAGCTAGCAGTACTTCCGTATAAAGGAAATTGTTTATTATACTTCTGTTTGAAGGAAATTGTTTATTATTTCAGGCTATTGGTTTGATTTGCCTCCATGCCCATGTAACTGTGTATTACAGGGTTTTGTGCTGTAGCAACTCTTAAACTACCAAGTTCTGTATTCTCCATGAATTGGTTTTGGGGCTGCCAGACTTAAGTAACCAAGTTTCACTATTTTACCATGATATTGTTGCTAGGTTTTGGTTGTACGTATTTCATGGGGCATGAATTTTTCATGGGGCATGAATTTTTCATGGGGCACATGATTCAAATTCATGCTGTTCTATATTAATGCACAGAAGGGCAAAAAAAAAAGAATAAAAAAAAAATCCGGAGTATCACCGTATTGCAATTATTCTGCTTAGCATCAAGGTAGGAAAAGGAGTGAATAAGAATTGCAGTGTGCAGGAACTCTTCGCCCTCTTTCCAAGTGAAAAACAAATGTTTTAGAGGGCTTTATGCTGTTGTAACTCATATGAAGTGATTTGCTTCATGTATATGCAAAAAATTAAACATGCTTTCTAGAGGGCATCTCACTTTGAAAAGACTTCCTTAAGTTATCAGAAGATCCATGAAACGGCTTTAACTTGAGAAATTTAAGAGAAACTACACATTCAGCTTAAGAAACTCATGAACTTAAGATACATTTTGCACCAGACATATCATGGGCTTTAAGCTTCGCTGAATGAGTAGTAGCTAAGTAGCTAGGTGCCACTTGATGCCTTGATGCACTTCTTGTGGCTGTAGCCCGGTTCCTAAGTGGTCCATATCCATCTACATTTGTCTGATCAGCTGCTTTTATAAATGAATCGTAAGCATTGGAGATATCATTTGAAGCACAGCTCTCCACTGCCTCTCTCTCTTCATCCACAGTGGATTTCACTGAGAGCTTCTTATCAAGAGAGATTGGCTCAGGAAAGTTACATGCATCAATCTTTGAGCTCTCTCGAAGACGGGTGGCCATCCATCTCTCCAACCAACTCCATCCTATGTTTTGATCCGAGCTCTCGGTTTTGACCATGTTCCTCTTTGTGCAAGTTCTTAACTGTGGTCGATTAACAAAAGAAGAAATTCAGGGTGACGAATTACATGAAATACTCAAGAGATAAGCATACTGGGTATCCTCAAGTAATTCATGGTTTTACCTGCTGAGAGAAGGCATATGCCAAGGCCCTCTCACGTCTAGTCATTGCTTCAAGTTTATTCTGAATTCTTAACTTTAACTCATTGGTGCTCATTGTGCTGTCGTCCCAGTCTTCCTGCCACCAGAAAAAATATTGTTCTCACATGATAAGTATGAAAGCATACAGAGTGTTGGTCATATGCTTACTGTTCCTTTGAAATCAGAAAGTGTGAATGTCAATGTGAATGGTGAAACAATTTCCTTCAGAAGTTGTAGGCAGTTCCAATTCACAAAATAGATGGCTGCACAAGCTATTCGAATAATAAGCACAAAAGAAAAGTATATGTTAACCCCATCCAGTGCATAGCTAAGTTTATCTACTAGATAAATGAGGTTTCTTAAACAACATAACTGGCTAAGTTTATCTACTAGATAAATGAGGTTTCTTAAACAACATAACTGACGCACTAAACCTTCCTAGTTGGCTATCCAGACACAGCACCAAAACCTAACTGTGGAACTGGTGCCTTACATTCTCTAAAAAAACGTGGCCATCGCATCAATTGATAAATACTAAAATAATTAGAGAAAAAAATATAATTTACCTTGATCTTTCGGACATGGATCTGGCGCTTATGTTGCACCCGGCGTCTTACAGTCCCACTTCGCGAAGGAACATTAAGAAAGGAAACAGAATCCCCCACTTGAGCTTCAACTCTACTGCCCATTGTCTCCATGTTTGCATTTCCCTCTCCTTCCACTTCATTTACAGAATCCAACTCTTTTGTTTCTCTCTGTTGGCGGGTAGTCTTAAAACCAAACACCAATATATTGTTAAAAAGAACCATGAAACTGCTGAAACCAGTGAGAAACAAACAAAAACTAGATAGACATATCTTGTAAGTCTGTATACTCGTACATGTGTGGATGGATATGCACGCACACAGCGAGCACACTATTTGAAGGCAAATATGTTGGGAAAATGGGAGCATACTATTTATAAGAAAATATTCTCATATTTAAAGCATGTGCAAATAATATTAACCAGATTTTTCAAGGATACATGATCTTATAACTAGAAACAAGATTAAGAATGATACTTTCATGGTGGTAGGAATGAGATACAAGAAAGTGGAGGAATGATAAAACATGAGTGACTAAATTTATATAACGAACCACATATAAATCAACATAGATGGCACTATCAAGGGTTAACATAACCAACTACTGATAAGGAAGTAAGAATGTGTACAATAATGCTTCTGCATATGATGTTTTATTTTAGCGATTATTCTAACTATAGTGATGATATTAAAAATAGAGATACTGATAATGTAATTACTCTAACATTAGAGATAATTGATATTCAAGAATAAGTAAACTGTTCATATTCCATATAATTATCAGTGACGATTCCTAATAAAATGTTTTTACTTGATATGATGATCATTATAATTATCACTCATTGACACTTGCCACAGTAGGCCTATCCAGTTTGAGAGTAGGGAGAGAATTCAGGTCCTAACAGAAGAACCCTTTTTTCAGTGATACACACACGGAGGCATGAAGAGATTGAATTCACTTACTAAGAAGCCTCTAAATGCCGCTTGGATAACCAGTGCAGCTTTCTCTTTCTTGAGCCCTTCAATTGCTGACTTTTCCTTCATCAAATCTTCACATTCCTCCTCAGAAACATGAGCATGGCTTTGTTCAGTATCTGAAGGTTCTATCACAGGCTGTGTTACAGTGGCCTCAGAACTCTTGATCGACTCGCTGCGTTGAATTTGACTTTGTTCAATCTCAGAACCTTCTTCTGTTACAAGTTGTGTTACAGTTGGTTCTGAGCTCCTTATTGACTCAGTGTCTTCCTCTGCGAGAACTGAATTGAAGTCGTCTCCACACAAGTACGACCGAACCAAGCTCCATTTACTCTTATCGACCCCCACACCCTTTGACTGTTGAAAGGAATTCATAAAATTTCATTGATGAACTCAGGGTTAAAAAAACCAAAAACCCATTTGAAGAACTCTCATAGAACTAAAAACTGTGCATGTAATGAAGATGACAACCTAATTGGAAAGCCATTGAAGAAAAGCCTGATTTTGAGAAAACAGAGCAGATTTACTGCTAAGAACATTCAAAGAAGTAATAGCTGTTGAGTGCATCAAGAACTAGAAGCCAGTGGATGAATTCTCAGAGAAAAACCACAAACTTGGTATGCATAAAGAAGATGAAAACCAAATTGAAGAACTCACCAAGAACCAGAAATTTTAGTACATTAGGAAGATGAAAAACCATTAAATCCAAAGCCATGGAACAGGAGATCCATGAAATGATTTAGATACATCAAAAGAAGTAAAATTCGAAGAATCAAATCAAAATCATGGAACTCAGTAAGTGAAAAATCAGAAATCCAAGTTAAGTGTTGTAGCAAAAAACGGAAGTTAACCAAAAGGTTCTACATAATCAGTCAGTTATCCTTGAAGAACAAATAAAAAGTAAATGCATACAAGAAATGAGAACGCAATCTACATTGAACCCGAAATTAAAATTCAAGAATTATGAAAGAGAAAAACGAATTGACAAACAGATTGGATGAAAAAAACAGGGTGGGTGTGCAAAAATCTTACACTGCTGCTCCTCGAAGCCACATGTCGGCTCTTCACAAACACATTTTTAACCAATTCCCCTGTCAAACCCATCACGAAATTCACGAACTACGGTCACAATTCTCACTTGGGTTTTCTCTAATTGACCTCAATTCTCACGTGGGTTTTCTCTAATTGACCTCAAATTACAGTTTGGATCTCTCTCTCATAAAACTTGGCCTCAAATTCTTGTTGGGTATCTCTCTCTCATCAAATACCTCACATTTCTATCTGAATAAAATCTCCCACCAGACAGTTACAAGAACTATACAAACTCCCAAACCTATTTATTTGAGCATGGAACACTACCCCACAATTAAAGGTAGAGAGAAGATTAAATTGTAGAGAGAGAAGATAGGTAACAACCTGTAAGTTAGAGAAAAGAAAGACAGAAAAAGAAAAAGGTCATTATTCTGCACGTTGGGTTGAAGAGTGTGCGATGGGAAAGAGGAGAGAAGATAAAAGTAAAGGCAGAGTCATGATGAAAGCTCGTTATGTTCTTGCTTTGTGTTGCAGAGGGTGCAGTGCTTTTGAGCTGGACTTGGCTTAAATGGAAAGGTAGATTGAGAAAATGGAGAGAATAATTTAAGGGGGTGTGCACATTTTGGTTGGCCACCAGAGCACAATGTTCATGCACTTGAAGGCGTGAACAGGAATCTTCATTACTGGATTGATTGTGTTCTATGTTTTTGCGGGAGCATGCTGTACACTTACTTCCTCTGTGAATTAGCATTTTGATTTATTTTATTTTATTTTATTTATATGAGGATTTCATATTCACCTAATGTGAATGAGCTATTTGATATTTATTTTTTATTTTTTATATAAGGATTCGACCTAAAAATCAGTGGATAATTATTTTTTAAAAACAATGTAGAGTTTGAGTTGTTCATAAAGATATAGGCCCCCAAATATTGGCCCAGGTGTTATTCTTTTCTGGAACATAGACACTGAGATTTGAATATTTACTTTCACTAAGGTAATAATTGAAGAGGTCATCCATTTAGGAAAGAGAAAAGTTTATATAGAGCCGAGGCTCTAAACAATCAAATTAGAGCCTACTTCAAAAACTTCACTAGAAGAGATTTTGATGCTCAAATATCCTCAAATTGATCATCTCGACATCAATATGCATGGACATGAGAAAAAATAGATTTCAAGTTTTGGAAATAGTGTGTTGCGTAATGGATTTTGGACAGTCAATTTTCAAGATTTTCATAGATATGTCGATCTATACTATTTTTGAAACTTTAAAATTTACAAATCAATATACAAATATATTTTAAGGCTATCACAAAGATTTCCAATGTTGAAACTACATTTCTCGACACTAAATTTGTAGCTCTAATTTGATTGTTTAGAGCCTACACTCTATATAAGCACCCGAAAAGGGAAAAGTTTATATAAAGTTGAGCTCTGAACAATCAAAGTAAGAGGCATCTCAAAAACTGACTAGAAGAGGTTGTTTTGATGTCGAAAACCCTCAAATCAATCATCCCAACCTTGAGATGTATAAATGTGAAAAAAAATAGATTGCAAGTTCGGGAAATAGTACTTCTTGTAATGCATTATCTAAGTCTTCAATTTAAGTGTTTATAGATCTGCTTGATCTACACTATTTTTTATACTTTAAATTTTATAAAAAGAGACAAAAATTAAAATTTCGAGCTATCAAAAAGATTTTTGCTATTGAAAATTCATCTTTTGACACCATTCAAATGTACGCTTTCCTTGATTGTTTAGGGCCTAAACCTTATAGCAACAACACCCCTCTCTAAAATTTGGGTGCAGGAGTTGAATCTGAGTCCTACAAGTACGCATCGATTGGGTATTATACGAGCGGAGTAATAAACTGTACACTCCGGGGAGTACAGAATTATGGTGACTAGACTTCTTATAAGGCTTTTTTCAATTTAGGACAAGGTTTTTATATTATTTTATCTTTATTTTTAAAGAGTATATAATCTATAGAGTAATGATCCTATAGGACTCTCCTTTACTCATGTGTGTAAGATATCAAAGAATCACCATTAAAGTTAGCATGAATATCTAAAAAAGTTATCACATAGATGTAGGACTTGACTTTTCTATACATCCGTGACAAATTTAATGGTGATCCTTTGGGATCCTATACACCTGGGTGGGGGAGGGTCCTATAGGATCATTTATCTGATCTATAACATGGAGATTATGAATATGGAAAAAACAATTAAAAATTAAAAATAATAATTATATTAAGAAAATATTTCGATGGTTAGTTATACTTGTTTTTAGATGGACCACCTATTTGCATGCTTATTTAAGATGCATGATTTATAGATCTGGACCACATATTGTAAAAATGCGGCCCAGCCCGCATGAAACAATTTTCCTTCAGCTTAACATATATATATATTTTTTGACAATTTATGCCCTTTTGGATCAATTTTATATGGGTGTAGTTTGTATAGAGCCTAGGCTCGAAACAATCAAATTAGAGCCTACCTTCAAATGGTGTCGAGAAATGTGATTTCAATATTAGAAATCTTTGCGATAGACTTAAAATGTATTTTTATATTTATTTATAAAGTTTAATGCTTCAAAAATAATGTAGATCGACAAATCTATGAAAATCTTGAAAATTAACGGTCCAAAAATACTTACAAAATACACTATTTCCAAAACTTGAAATCAATATTTTTTCTCATGTCCAAACATCTTGATGCCGAGATGATCGATTTGAAGATATTTGAGCATCAAAACAACCTCTTCTAATGAAAGTTTTTAGGTAGGCTCAAATTTGATTGTTTAGAGCCTCTCTATATAGACTTTTTCCATTTTATATTTGGTTATGCAGCCTATAAAGGACGTTACATAGAGTTAATTGGACCACAAAGTTCTCAAGTGATCTTTATCATAGGAAAAATGAGGCTAAAAAAATGAACATACACCATAAGGTCATTTACTTTGGTACAAGGAGGCCACAATCATTGTTAACCATTGAATGTGAAATCGTTGAAGATGTGGCATCAATTGGGTATAATGTATACAATAAAATTTCTTAAATGTTGTGACACATTTCAATATATTAGATTGCATATCCAATGTCTAAAAATGATTGTAAATCTCACTGTAGATCAGAACTTAATTATCCACTATGGACAATGGAATCTAAGGTTGCAAGAGCCGATGTAAATTAAACAATGAACGACTCATAGGTGATTGTAAAAGTTCAGAACATGGAAGATCCCATAGCTGGTTTTTGCCTATAGGACCAAATGTACAGTTTCAGCTTATAGGACCGACATAACCGTGCAGACCTTTCTCACTTTCTTTCGAGGGCTTGTGTGTATAGTTTACTTCTAGGGGACCACTTTGTACACTTGCTCCCTTTGGTAAATTGAACACCTACAATGGAGGATTTGTTTCATCAAAAGAATTTTGGAGTCACCATAACCTAGAAAGTCCTTGTTTCAATCATGGAAGGGTTGTTTAGGATGTGTGGTCCAATTCGTTAGGTTTGCTTGGTGGGTTTACTGTAGGTGAGGCAGGTATGCCAAGCTGGAAAAACTTGGTGCAAAGTACAAACAAGTTTTGTTTTACAAGGGAATCCTCATATTTGACCCTTAAAAATGGGGATTTCAATCTTTTCTAACATACTTCTTCTCTATTCAATCTTTAGAATTTTCTCAAGCGCATAGAGAGTGATTTAAAAAGGTTTTTTTAATGGGTGCGGATTGTATAGAGCCTAGGCTCTAAACAATCAAATTAGAACCTACCTTCAAATGGTGTTGAGAAATATGGTTTCAATACTAGAAATCTTTGTGATACCCTTAAAATATATTTTCATATTTATTTATGAAGTTTAAAGCTTTCAAAAATAGTGTAGATCGACAAATCTATGAAAACCTTGAAAATTGACGGTCCAAAAATGCGTTACAAAATACATTATTTCTAAAACTTGAAATCTATATTTTTTTCATGTCCGTGCGTAGTAATGTCGAGATGATCAATTTGAAGATATTTGGACATCAAAACAACCTCTTCTAATCAAATTTTTTAGGTAGGCTTAAATTTGATTGTTTAGAGCCTCGTCTCTATATAAACTTTTTCCTTTTTTAATCGGTATTAGTTGGTAGTTAAAGACGTTACACCCTCAAAATTTAGATTCCTACACGTACTAGATTGGGTTTTGCCTAGGGTGCAAATGGGCAGTATACTCGTGCGAGCACGAAATCTTTTGGGCAAAACCATGTTTGTTTTCATTCAAGCGACTTGCTAAGAAGGAAATATATACAATAAGACGTTTACTTGATATAATTAGACCTGAAATCAGGTGGTTGGGAATATGTCGGCACAAAGTTCAACTTAAATTTTTTTTATTATTATGACACACTTTAATCCATCAGATTTAACATTTAATGGTTAAAAATGATTGTGACTTTTTTTATAAATAAATAAATAATCTCACACCATACAATTTTATTATTATTATTTTTTTCATCTACCCCATCCCTTAAACCGAATTCCTTTTTTCTTTTTGTCTAAAAAATGCCCTTGCCCTTAAAATTAAGTACATTCAAGAGTCTCTGTGAGAAAGAATAAGAGAGTTTCGGAGAGAGGATATGCAAGATAATGAGAGAGCTTTTAGTTGTAGTAGGACTTGAATGTACTAACTATTTAAAAGGGTGTTTTGTGAAACAAGGGAGTTGGATTAAGCCCAACGCAAATTTGGTCATAAAACACCCCTCAAATTTGTTGTGTGCCCACTCCAAATCTTATTGAAAAATGATTTATATAATAAAACATAATAGTGAAATATTCTAATCTATTGAATCAATATCTGCCGCTCAAAAGCTGATGATGGAACTGAAGATATTTCAGCCATCCATTTAGATTTGATGACAGAATCTATGCATGTGAGTAATGCCACGTGTAACATTTCCCAAACAAATATCCTTAAGCCTAGCCAAAACAATTTCCATATCTATTCACAACTATGAAACATGAACAGCCATGTTGGGTCCCGACACGTGTGTCACATGAACATACACATGGCCAATGGGTGTCCAGTATCATGTTCATGCCTTGGGACATGTTTAGACTTGAAAATGTGGCATTTTTTATATAGAAATGTCATTTTTCTAGATAATTTTCTTAATTTTAATTTTCAACAACAGTTTACTTGAATCCAAAAATCTCTATCTCACTTCTTCAAATCTCCGTTTCTTCCCTTCATGTGTCGTGTAAGGTGCGTTCATATATATATATATGAATTTATCGGAAGAAAAAAGGGAAGTAGTTTTTCAACGGGTACTTTCTCTCTCTGCAGGTAGATCATAATTTCAAATACACACAATATCATTGAAGTATGCAGTAGCAAAATATATTATTATTCTTGTCATATCATTTATCCACAATAATCCAGAATACTCATTGTGTAAAGTGCATTTTCGGTGTTTGAATATTCCAATAATTCTCTGACCGACGCGTATTATTTGACCACAAAGGTCACTAGCTTTGTTATATATCATTTCCAAGCTTGTTCTAGACTCAATAAATATTCAATAAAGAGAAAAGACAACTAATGACATCAAATATCAATAGCACTG